GGATGTCATTTTTCAAAACATGCGATGTAAATTTTCAAACTATATGAACCTGTTTGTATGGAGCCGCTCTATAAATAGAGCACTCTGATTGCAGTTAAAGGATATAGAGAGACAGACAGAAAGAAAGAAAGATCAATAACATCATCTATTCCTCCGTCTTTTATTTATTATTCCCTAGTGCTAAAGTTTTAGTGTGATATTTTACACATCTGCTTCACTCATGTCACTAGTAAAGGTTAACTCTCTAACTTTTACATATTTATAACAATCATCTTTAAATTTGGAGCAAGATTTGACAGTGAGCCCATGCCAATGACTACAAGCTGTCAATCTCTCATCTCTTTAAAAGTTGTAAGTACCAATTTAGGGTTTTTGTAGAAATTGCTCTTATTATAAGTGACACTATTGACGTGAAATCGAATGAAATTAAGATATAAAAAAGTTTCAAATTTTGTAAGAAGTGCTTTATAAATAACGTGATCAGACAATATTACTTAAATTTTTCTCGAAATCAAATGTTTTCCTTTTTAAAAATTAATTGTTCTCCAAGTTAAGGAGCATATCAAAACAATTGTCCCTTCTTCAGGATCTTACATGAGCTGGCTAACCAAACCTAAAACCCTAAAATTAATTGGAGCTCAATTTTTTTGTTGTCGTTTTAAAAAATATCTTCACCCTCTTACAAATTTCATCTTTAGAATCCAACTATTATATGGTGTGTTATTAGGAAACATAACAATCTTCTTAATAAAAACAAAGGATTTGCATCCACATCTCTAAACAGTTCGCATCTTCACACCCTAATTTGTCTCCAATTCCATCCTCTATATATATATATATATATATATACTTGTATATTTGATATAGATTGATGGTAGTATATATAGATAAACACATTGTATATTTATGTTAGGGAATATAACGTCAAAAACTTCACTAAGTAAATAATATTTATATTGAATGATTTCATTTCTAATTGTACGGAGACCATTTGTAATAAAAACTCAACATTTGTCGAACTATGTAGCCCATCAAGTATAACAATATTAATATAATTAGTTATGAGTCACAAGTCCGACTCTGAAATTTTGTAATATATACACACACACACAGAGTAGGGTTTTATAAATTGGAAAAGCAAACAAAATCATTCTTTTTGTCCTTATCGTTAAAACTCAAAGTTTTCAAGCCATTTTCATTAGTTTTCCTTAATTTAATTTGTGTAGCAGTCACCATTTGTGAGCTTAAATCCAATAAGCCAGTTGGACCATTCCATATCAGACCATACATCTTTGGTTTAGGTGTAACTTTCCTTTCCCTTCCCTTCCCTTCCGTTCTCATTCAAGAAATAATGCAGCTCTATCTTTCAATTCCCCTTCCATTATTTTGTTTTCCGCTAGCTTAATTATTATTTTACTGCTAAGCAAGTGACTTTATTCCATTAAAAATTTATCAATATTCTTGTTAAATTGTTACGTGAACAACCACGTGACCATCTTTTTAAGGATATTTTTGTCTAACCAACCCCTCCACTTAACAATGATACTGACAAATTTTTTACGAAATGATTCAAGAGGGATGTATTCAATTGAGAATTTGAGAGATTTTAATGGATCTATAAATCCATGAATTTTTATGGAGTTTAATTGATTTGTAGAGATTCCATATAAAATTTTGATTCAATTCCCTCGAAATCTCATGGGAAGAGAAAAGATTTGTGGATGCTTAAAATACACTACGAAATCTCTCTAATTCCCTCTAATTCCTCGACTTTATCAAATTCTTTAAAATCAATTTCTAATTGAATACACCTTGAATGTTATAAATTTCTTTAAAATCCTAATTGAATACACCCGGATTTCTAAGGATTTAAAAAAACTATCTTAAAATTATAATTGAATACACCTTGAATTTCAAATAATCACTTAAAATTCTGATTGAATACCCTTAGATTCATTAAAATAATTAAAATCCCTCAAAATTTCAATTGAATATAAAATAATTTACAGTAGATAAACTCATACATCAATTCTATCGATTTTTATTATCTTATATCAACCTTATGAACCATCTTAACTAAAAAGTCATTTTATTAGTTCGATAAGTCGTTCACCGACAGACGAGGCCCTATCCTATTAAGTATATATAGAGTCCCTTTCTATAATCGAACTGATATTTAAATTACAGAACTGCTTTTGCCGTACACGCTATGTTGGCATGGTTCAACTTTCAAAGGACAGAATAACTAAAGATTTGGTTCCACATACGTGCATATGGGTAATAGAAAAATGGAAATGATGAAAACTTTAGGGAAAGGTTAGTGACTTTAGCAGCATCAGTATAAAACATAATCTGATGTCTGGATCTTTAGAGCTATGTTTGTACTCAATATTTGTCTAATTAAGCAATCGCGCATTTATAGATACGAAAAATGTTAGAATCAATTGTGTCAATTGTGTACGTGAAAATGAGTTGATTTGATAATTCATGTTGACAGAATTTACAAAATATCAATGATCATGATTAATCAACGCGTGCCAATTTAAGTTAATTTAATCATTCATATACTTATGAGACGTACAAAAACTGCCAGAAACAACCGACGATACTATCCTGTCCCTCCTGTTATGGACAAATGTTCAAGTGAGAGTTGTAGGGCGGTCAAAACAAGTTGAAGGAGACCTGTCTTTTGTGAAGAGTAGTATTTGGGGAGCCATGTGCGTCTGCTTTCACATAGATGGAAGGTAGGGTCCTATGATTTTGGAAGTACTACTTCTCATGTGATTTTAGAATACACCAGTAAACAGTTGACCTTCCCCTAACTTCATTGAATGAGGATCCTCTCTCCGGATTCTTTTTGTGATGATCCTGATGATCTTCAAATCGTGTCCGTTTATTGCATATCGTGCGACTAGAAATTATTTTAAATATTTTTATTTTAAATTAAATATGAATATTACTTGACAAAAACTGGACGCACGATATACGATGAACAAACTCGATTTGAGGATCCCTAGGATCCTTATAAGGAGGATTCGAAGAGGATCATCCTGGAACTTCATTTGCCCTAAAACTTGGGTTAAGGTGTCCAATCACGTCATATGTATGACACATCTTATAAAAGCATACGACTGTATTTTTGATTTTATCTGACCCACTATAATCAGTGTGTGAGACCTGTCCTAGTCCACGCCCTACCGTAGTTTCTCTCATATATTTGATATCGATTGCCATTTTCAAATCGTCAATTCCGGATTCTGACCCGAGGAACTGTAAACCAAAACTTCTTTCCATTGCACAAACTTGCAAATGACTGTTAAAAATCACATACAAATCGCTACAATTGAATGTTGCTGTTTCCTGGTTCATTTAACCATCCACTAATTGTAGCCTCTGAAAATCTGTTTGTACAAACTATCCCCCTCTAACTATAACGACTGTTCTTCTCAGCAGAGCTCCAACCATTTTGTTAATTGTTTCAGAGATCCGGGCAGCCTTAGGAAGTTGGTATATCCACTGTAGCACACTGCAAGCAAGCACTTAATGGCATTACAAATTTCACATATTCCAACGGAGCAGCTTCTGCAGAAGTTTGGGTGGGGCACCGGGGAAGGCATAACCTGAAAGCACAGAAGAAAAAGGCAAACGCTTTCTTTCGGCAATTACCCAGACCAGTAAATTTCTAACATCTAAATGTGAATCATACGTGACCTGATACTTGAAGCAAAATGCGTCCGAATAAAAATAGAACTAAAAACTATATGCAGTCTCTAACAAGGCACCTGAACCTGAAGGATTCCTCTGCATGCAATTGCACAATCACTGAAGTTGTCACCTGCACTCCCTTGCGAGTTCATTTTTGGGGTTCTGATAAAACATATACAGAAACAGCTCAAATTTTGGCAACACCAATCAGTTTGGGGTTCATGTGTTTCGTGGATTCTTCTCTTTTCACTGAAGCCAATGTGTCAAAAATACAACCCAATTCACAACTTTCTCCCCAAAAACGAACTCTATGTCGCAATCACAGTTACAATCTAATTATCAACCAGAAAGAAACTTAGTTTTGGAATTGTAAGATTCAAATGACTAAACAATGGCAAGAGTGTAAGCTAGTACGAGTTGGGATATGAGGTTGAAGTTCTGGGTTTTGCACGTAATTAACAAAACAAAATATCCATCAAATTACAAAAGTTTAAGCTAGGATGTTCAAGATAATAAGAAAAAGATATACAAAGAAGAATAACTTAGAAGGAGCTGTTTTAGTATTTACCAGTTGATTACCTCGAGGCTAGCAACTTCACCGCAAAGACCTTTTAATGGCTTCCACATTTGCTGGAGCTTTGACAATCTCATAGAGTAACTCAGGTTTGGAACATTGTTAGTTAACGAATCAAGATTTTGGATCATCAACTTCTGATTTCAAGAGACATCACCGATTTCAAGCCACAAGGAAAAAAGCACAAGAGCCAAGAAAATAGAAAATGTTTGAAGCTCAGATGGGGTTCTCAATCAATAGTGGCAACATTGGATTCACATAATTGGTGCTTAATCATTGCTGAATCATTGTATTATCATTGATCATCACCATACAACACAAATACACAGATATCTAAATCCATGCTGCAAATACAAAGATGATGGTAACACAATGCTCTCTCACTCCACTCCAGTCATCATACAAATGATTCTCAATATTATCTAATCATTTTATCACTTCATCCGCTCCTCACTATCAGGCCTCAACATTAATTTGGTCAGGAAGCAAGAGGGGAGAATAGGGGAGATAGCCGAAATGAATGGTCTCCCAGGACCCAAGCTAAGATGGGAAGGTAACAAGAGAAAAGCTATAGGTATAAGATACTACCTTTCATCCCTTCGCTCCTACATCGCCTCCCCAACAATATCCTTCTAACCAACTAAAAGAAGTCCTAATGTTCTTGTTAAATCCCTATCCACAAAATGGATGTTAAAATACAATAAGCTGTAGATTAAGTTGATGCGTTAAACTATGCCATTCCATGATTCCATCTACATTACTAAAACACTGCAATTGAATACAAGGAAAACCGTAATTTCATGCGCTGACAACATCAACTCCGAACATTGTTGTTGTATCTAAGTTACACCAGTGCAAGAACTCTTCTCTAAGCATTGAGCATTCCTAATACAAGTAAATAGCACACATTGTGCACAGATAGCCATAAAATTCAAGATCATTGCTTGCTAAAACTTCAATTGTACATAAATCTACAGCTCGAATATAAACCGCAAACATGCTACAACATCAGAAAAACACCAAAAATCGACAGTTGGGTCTTTCAAGATACACTTACACAGGCTCAAAATCCTCCCCTTTTACCACACCACTATTGCCCCCCGCCGCCGCCTTCCTCCTCCAATTTCTGCACATATGCCTTCAAAAGCATGACCAACTCCCTCGCCGGCGCCTGAATCGTCCCCACCAAGCTCGACGCCGGACTATTCAACGTCCCAAGCAACTTAGCGTAAATCTCCGCCCTCGTCGGCATTGTCTCTAGCTGCTTAAAGTCCCCAGGCCCGTAAAACTTCCCTTCGAAAACCGCCCCGGTGAAGTCGTTACTGTCGAGCTTCTTCTCCTTCTGGAAATCCCTGTAGGGCTTAATGGCCGGCGGGATTTCCTCGCTGTGGACAAACAGCCAGGCGTTCATCCCCGTCATGCACGGCTTCAGCGCCTCCCACCGCGTCCCCTCGATTGCCTTGTAGACCAGGGTGTTCTTCGCCACAATAAGCTTGGTGGTTTCCGGCAGGACTTTCCGGAGGTCTTGGAATTGCTTGACGGTGAGGCCCTTGTAACGGATTCCGGCCATGAGGTGGCAGTTCTCGAGGTTTTCCTTGATGGTCTCGACGGTCTGTTCCTTTTTGGTGCGGGAGATGGCGGAGCGGATTGTGGGGAGGCGGTGGTGGTGGCGGGCGGGGCGGGGAGTGAGGGAGAGAAATGGGTTTATGGCGGGTCGGGTCAGGAGGGGTTTGGGTTGGGTCTGGGTTAGGGAGGGTGATGGGGGTTTGGAGGAATGGAAGCTGAAGAGAGTGGCTTCCATGGTTGTAGAAGAACACAGAGAGTAGGGAGGGAGACTGCTTTTGGGTTTGCCTTATCTTATCTGTGTGCAATTTCTGAGAAGGGGTAGGGTGGGAAATTAATACTGTGGAAATTTGGGAAAGTTCCCCTTAAGTTTTAGGTAATTTCACTTGAAACCCAGTTCCCAATTGGTATGAACTGGGGGTGGGATAAAAACCGGCAAACTGGAAAACCAACCAACCGAAAAATCGAATCGAACAGTAAAAATGGAAAATAATATGGAAACTTTAACGGAAAAATATTCGATAATGTTCACTTTAACAAAAAATTACATTTTTATATTCAAAAATCAATTATGGTATTATTCACTTTACCTTTTATTTTGTTCTTATCGTTAAAACTCAGTTTTCAAAATATTTTCATTAGTTTTTCTAAATAGAAAAGCTGCACTAATAGAAAAGTGAAAATCAGGTAAAAAAAAACCGACTCAGACCGGCTCAGATCGGTTCAGCTTTTGAAACATTTCACTTTAACCCCAAGCACCAATAGGTATGGAAAACTAGTTTCAATTTCCAACAACTTCAGAGACAGAAAATACTCGGCTTCTTCTAGTAAACAAAATCACACTGTGACGTTATATGTAGAAACTTTTTTGCTGAATAATGAATTATTTTAGCGTAGGCACTGGCAGTCCCATATAATGAGGAATGGGTGATGCAAGAGAAATCGTCTAATTAGACATATTTTGTAGACCACATAATTTGACGGTTGATAATTTGATTCTTTCTTTAATGATTTAAATAAGAAATTCATTCATCAGCCGTCATATCATGTGATTTACAAATATGATATAAAATGTTGATCTCCCTAAATTTTCCATTGAGAAATATACTCTAACACTTGAAAAGCACTTGAAGTACTTCTTATAAATGCTTCCTATAAGAAGCACCTAACGTTTGCTTCTTGCAGAAAACACTTCAAGTACTTTTGAAACTTAAAAATAATTTTTCTAAAAACGCTTTCAGTCATTTTAAAACTTATTCCAAACAAACCCCAAGTCTTTTTCGCTTATCTTCATCTTTGGTGATTGCTTTGTATGATTAGGCCTTCCACGCGTCGAAATTTTTTGAGTTTGGTTTCTACTAATTAGAATCAAACTCAAACGGTGCTCCGAAAAAATTGAATCCAATGTGACTGTCCAATTGTTAAGTATTATACAAGGAGTCTTTAGGATTGTTTGGGACGAGAAGGCATGGACTCCAACGGTGTGTAAAAAACACAGTACGCAGGGTAGCTGTTAATTAAAATATGACAAAATGTAGTTTGACAAAATGTAGTTTACAGAATGCAACCTTTTAAGCTACGATAAACCAGAATCTGACATATTTTCCACAGGATGAAAACCCTCTACGAAAACAGACACAAAAAAAGGACCAATCCCATCGCGGCGAGACCATCCTGTGCTCGAAAAAGACCCTCCAAAACTGGAAAAAGCTAAACACACTCTCAAACCTCAACAAGGATTCAGAGGCCCGAATATAAAAAGGTGAAAACTTATCTGAAACTATATTAAGATGTCAGCGGTATACCGTGCATCACAAATCAAACTGTGTTCCCGCTTAGCAACTCCGAAAGCTCAGCCTTCTTCATCTTCGAATACCCTTTTACACCTCGAGACTTCGCTAGTACCCTCAATTCTGGCAGTTTCAATGTACTCAAATCCCTACTTTCAACACGTTCTCCTTTGTTCTCATTGTCTTCAATTAGAGGTTCTTCAGGACCCAAAATCTCATCTTCTGAAGTCTCGTCCTCTAACAACTGAACAATCTCAGGCTCCGGCTCAGGTTCAGGCTCAAATTCAAACTCAGTATCATGCTCGGGCATAGGGTCAAGTTCGGCCTCCAACTCAAGCTCTGGCTCAGGCTCTGGTTTAGGAACTCTCTCAACATGATTCTTCTTTCTTTTACCAGTTGAATTCACATGTGGCACCAAGTTGCCTGTGTGATCATCCTCAGAATAAATGGCCTGGTATGTTAACCGAGGAATGGGAGACTTGCGTTGGAAATTCGATGCAGGCCTGCTGAAGGAGGCAGTAGGTTCTTCAACATCATCCTTCAAAAGGTTATTTGAATCAAAAGGAGCTTTGTTATTTGAATCAAAAGAAGCTGTGTTTTTTCTTTCACCATATCGGGCATTCTTTTCTGGTTGGTCCAACGTGAAGTCCTTGTTGCTGCTGCTGCCACTGTTGCTGTTTCTCTTTGATTGCTCAACCGAGTGCTTTCTTAACAGGTTAAGGAGGGAATCCACAGTTGCATTCTCTTTACCATGCCCTTGTGAAGCTTCAACCTTCCTTTCTTCTTTAACTGCACTTCTCTCCCGAAGTTGAGCCTGGACCTTCCGGAACAGCTCAACAATCTCTTTTTCTCTAGGTCCAGGGGATGCAGTGGCCCCGAACTTTGTGTTACTTGAAAGGGAGACCGATGGCCCATTTTTAGAAGACAGCATATCAGATTCATCAAAGTTATCAAAGCCATCTCTTTCTTCACTTTTCCTATTCCTGCTCCGGGAGTACCCATGTCTGTTTTGCCTTGGAAACTCTGGATTTCTATTACGACCACTAGAACTCGCTCTGCACATAAAGGATACCCCCTTGTAAGCACCTTTCGGTGATCCATAACTGACCTGTGACTTGGACTTATGGTTGAAACGAGAAGAGCAGGGATATAAAGGGGCTACTCTCCCGGAAATTCCAGAACACGGAAGACAATTGGCATCTGATGGTCCATAACCTGGAATAAAACCACCATCACCAAATATCACAAGGCAATAAACCTAATCATAAAAATGAAAGCTCCCAGCAATATCCACAACCCCAATTCACCTTCTCGTGCTCGAAAATATTTTTAATAAGAGACCACTCTTTATTCTATCCCACATGTGCAAACAACACCCCCCACGCACCGAAAAAGGTACAGATTTTGCGTTCCTCATAACTGAACTCTTCCTTAGAATTCAAATGCAGCTAGTAGTAATCACTATAACTCCAAAGGAAATACAAGACTGTAATCAAGTAGCAGATTAAAATAAAAATTCAAGCGAACGACAGGAGAGCTAACTCTCTCTATAAACCATCTGTTACATGCAAGCGCTATATATACAAAATCATTTCAACAAACACCTGCTGGGAACTCTAACCAAAATGTCAAATTTTGAAAAAAGAACAAACAAACAAACACGAAATCTTCAATTTCTAAGCAAAATACGAACGAAACCAATCAAAATTACGATAACCCATATCTTAAAAATAATAAATGGAAATGGAAATAGCTTCGAAATTCCAGCCAATTGTGGAAACCCAGCAGAGTTTTGTTTGGGTTTATAAGAAGCTCACCGATGATATGAACGCCCTGTAACATTTCGGGGGAGGTGAGGGACTGAGAAGGATAGTTTTCAGGTCAGTCGTCAATGGCGGATTTGCATTTTCTGGCGTGCTTGCTGGTGGTGTGGCTCCCTCCAAGTGTTTGTCACTTTGGCTTTGCTAAACCCTATAGCGCCATTGATAAGGGACTCGTTCGGTATTATGGTTCTGAGGTTTTGAGGCGGTTCAGTCATGGGTCGAATCGGGTCATTTGACCCGATTGTCTAGCTTTTCCATTGGCCCAGTTTTGTGTTGTTAGTTCAACTTGGCCCTCCTTTTTTTTTTATTTTGCAATATGATATCCACACTCATTTTACTTTTCACACACCTCTTATTAATTTTTGTTCTTTGATCTTCTTTAATTCATTCGATCCAATGGCCAAAAATCAAGAAGGTGTGTGCGGATGGCACACCCCTTTATTTTTAATTTTTTTATTTTCTAACTAATTTGATAAAAAGTCAATTACATATAAGGTTAAAAGTGATCCCTTACCAGTGGTGGAAAGAAGTCAAGTCCTTGCATGACAGCATGGGTCTAAACCCCGTCGGTGGGGCTAATCTAACATTTAATCTAACAAAATCTATCGTTAGACCGAAAAACAAAATACATATAAGGTTAGGCCAGTTGATCAAGTCAGTGCAGGTCACTTTTTAACTCAAGTTTGGACCTATATTTTCAGAGATAAAATAGGTTAGGATAAAATACCGTCTCGCTACATCCTGAACTCATGCGCTAATGTAAGTAATAGTTCAGTTACAACTGACATAACTACTACTACACAAGTTTTATGCTCGTAGCAGTGAAAATAAAGCAAAAATGGAACTTGTAGAAACACACAAAAGCATATTCCGCCGGAAGGATCAACCAACCTCATGATGCATGAAACTAAAGACATGCCAAGGATTTAAATATAGGTCCAAAAACTTGGCAAAACATTGATTTTCTTCTTTCTCTCAGGTAGTTTTTCAGAGTACAGCGCTGTTCTAAACTTCGTCAAAAGACAAATACCGTTCTAAACTCAGATTCGTTACAGGCTGCTTCTGTATTCTTCAGCAAAAACAAAACGCGGCGTTACTGAAGTAGGAGAACCTGAACAACCGCCATAAACTTACAACCATCGCACGACGCAAGAACAACTAGAAATTCCATCTTTATTTTTCTTCTTGGTACTCGAAACAAGGGGAAGAACAGAGAAAGACGAAAAATGATCCAATAAGCAATTGGGAGGAAAATAGATACAAACCAAACGTGTAGTCATTGCTTTATGAGGACATACTTCAGGCTTTGTGGTTTTTTGCCATCTCATCGACATCCAATTCAACTTCCAGAACCGGTGTATCCTTTCGCATGCTAGAATGGCTGGACAAAGAATATAACAAACACAAATATTAAACTTCTTGTCATATAAAACAAAGATGAGTTAAAGCAGATTTAGATTTAGTTTTGAGTAACTCGCCTGTTCTGCACGGGGCCATGATCCACAGCTGTTCGTAAACAATATATGACTCTGCCAACTATGTCTGTCATGGAAACTGGCCCAAACTTTCGACTGTCATTGGCTTCCTGCCAGATATAAGAATGAATATTTATCCATCTGTGCCCATTCAATTCAAGTAATGCCATATGGATAATGTCATAATTCACCCTAATTGCATGCATCTGTCAAAGCTAAAACACGTCAAAGTGCTGAATTGTCAATTTAGTCCAAAATCTAAACACAAGGAGGGAGGAGAGAGATAATCCTGAATATCTCCTCAAATAAAGGGATGTTGCTCGGGTACAGCTCATGGAAGATTATGCTTAGGGATGGGCAAAATACCCATGGGTATGGGTAACCGCGGTTACCCGCCCATTTAAAGTTGACGGTTATGGTTATGGGTAACCGTTTAGACAAATAAACGGTTATGGGTATAACCGTTTATCCATGAAATTTAAATGGGCGGTTATGGATATTATCCGCGGTTATAACAGGTATCCATTGGTTATGGGTAATATTCGCGGTTATAACGGGTATCCATTTACCCATTTAATTTAATATATGTAAATTGTTCGATGAATGCCATGAAATTGTTCGATGTATTGCCGCTGTGAGAGCCGGTTGACATAACCAAAACAAAAACAGAGAAGATTTCTGGGGTTATGTGGGTATGAACATAAACGGTTATGGGTAAATAACCGCGGTTACCCGCCCACCATAACCGTTGCCCATCCCTAATTACGCTTAAATATTTGATAGATGTTACAACAAATAGATGGCAATCAACACATTCTACTAAGCGTGACATGCTGATGTAATGATGACAATATACTCAGCCCGTGTTATAGCTATTTCCAAATACTAAAACATAAAAGAAAACTGCGGATGGACTCATACAGGAATTGTGCGGACTGTGCAGTAACCGAGCAAATATAATTATCAAAATTCTGAATATGGCATGTACCTTGGGCTTCAAACTTTCATTATCAGCCAACACCCAGCATTCATCCTTATCAAGGACAAAGGGCTCATCTTTTTCATCGGTGGACAGCATTTCATACCCTTCAATTGCAGCCAATCTTCTCACCAGGTAATTATCGGGTTTCTCAGGGTCCTTCAAGACAACTACATCCCCAACAAAAACACGCCTGTCAGATATACACGAGGATGTCAATTGAGCTGTAAGGGAACTATAAATTCACATACATCAATATGAAAAAGAAAATGAAATTGCTACACATAGAGGTATTAATATCTGAATTAACAGGTAACGATCAAAGCAGGACTCAGCTTGGGAATGTCTTTAGAAGAATGACAGGCAGTACACAGTGTCACAGCATGATTAAGCACCAGAAAGTTTATCATTAAAACCATGTGAGAATTTAGAGCGCAAGTTGAATAAAAGTTTACCTTACAGGCTAAGGGTCTGCTTTAACAGTATAGAGAGACTCAATATGAGCGACAGAAACAAGAGCTCATATGCACAAACTTCAACTTTCTATCTATCCATGCACAGAGATAACACAGGCAACCAAAGTGGTTCGCAGTCAATTTATGACTAATTGAAGCCTTTCCTAAACTGCACCTAAGTCCTAAACTGAAAAAGTATAAATCTTAAAGAAAAGTGGCCTAACTGCTCATCATCACAAGAGTAAACTAGATTTAATTTACCATCCACAAGTTGCTGAAGGCATTTATGATATCACAGTTCCTCACATGAAACACACCAGTCTCTCATAAGAAGTTGATCTGGGGCCAACACCATAACAACAACTGGTTTGTTCTTTTAGATGCACAATCTTAGATTACTAGATAAAATGCTTAAACTGGTCCTGGGAGCATCTTTTGGAAGAATGATATTTATATTCAAGCACAAAAAATAATAGAACAAGGGAATCAAACTTGCAAAAAGAAGAGAGGACGTATTTAAAATGGTAATTACTTTGGATCTGCAGCTGGTATCTTCCGGACAAGAAGAGTTCCACTTTGTGCGCCTATACTAGGGGCCATCTCCTCTCCCTTATTCCAATGCAAGTACGTCAGCCTTCCCTGAAATAGATTTTTCCAAACGGCATCACCTAGTTCCTTGTCCGTGATTTGACCTCTTTGATAGCTCTGCAATACATGAAAACTTTTGTCATAAAAACGTAAAACAAAAGGCATTTATAAAGCTTTCACAGACTTAACTATAACCATGTGCAAAATGGAAGTAAGAAAACTGTCTTTAAAATTACAAGACCAGAAGTAAATTAAGCGTTATTTGACCATCTAAACCATCTGACAAGCTAAATACTAATAACAACTATGAAAGGATCGCCCACATTACATATCTTGCTCACCCCAAGTTACATGTGAAAAACTTTGAGGGAGATAACTGGCTCCCCGGTTTCACAATTGATCTTGAACATTTAAGAAATGCGCATCAAAAGCTTTTTTCTTTTGACAATGCGATATTCTAATAAACTACTCTAATCTACAGGGAGGGGGCAGGGACACTGCCATGGTCAACTGGCCTAACCCGAAACAACTATAAATCTAACTTTACCAAAAGTAGTGAACATTACTGAATATTTCTCCATGGTATTTGTCAATCTTTTCAAATGCCTTCGCATAGGCCAAAAGTAACAGTTTTGAAGCTAAACTAAGCATTTAAATGCACCTTCAACATACACACAATATTTCTCTGTTAACACCCGAAATCATACACAATATCTATTCCAACAAAAACATCACTGTAATTGAGAACACAAAACATTGAGAAAACCCACGAAAACCCTTATTCAGAACACCATTTTAACACAAAATCACAAAACTACCAAAACAATATCGTTCTCAAAAAACCCAATACAACCCATCCACCATTACCCAAACTCTAAAAACCCCAATATTTGCTTTAACCTTCCATGGCAGCAATCTTTCAACGGGCAATCTTAAAACGGTCTAAAAACAAAACCCAGAAGGGTAATCATCGAAAATTGGAAGAGAGAGAGAGAGAGAGAGAGAGAGAGAGAGAGAGAGAGGAGAGAAGGACCTTCCAGCTGAGCGTGGCAGAGTACTCAAGCTTGTGGGCTATGTACCGGAACCAGGTGGAGAGGGAAACCATCGCAGAGAGACGACCGCCAGCAGCTTCGAGTTGTTGTTGTTGCACGAGATATATGCGTCGTCAAGCCGCTGTAGCTTTTGGGCATTCCTCCTTCCCCTTCCCTTTTTTCTTAAACCCCAAAATTAAAAATAAAATAAAAAATCGATCTTTTTTGGTATTGGGAAATTTTGGTTTCGTGGGCTCTCGCTAATCGCAAGTTCGCAGCTTTAACGAAGATGGATTGGCATTCGTGTTCAATCCAATGATAATCAAATGAACGCTCTACTCAGATTTGTTGGAAATCAGTATATTAAACGACATGCCGTTTCAACTCATATGGTGGTGACCTCTTCATTTAGGGTTTCTTAACTCTTTTAAGATAAACTCCACCGGTGTCCTGAGTCCGATGGACTGGCGACAGAAATAACCATAGCCTCAGCAATTTGCTCTAGCCCATGTGGGCAATGGGGCTCAGGGGAGACCCGAGTGAGAGGCTCGGCTCAAATTAGTGATCCGAGAGCCTGAGGCCACATGATGCAAAGCTACATTATAAATTTAATAAAAACAAATTTAAACAATTAATAAAAAATCCAAAAATAAAATAAAATATTTATAAAAAAAATTAATTTTTCGATAAATATTTTATCATTATCTTCCACCTTACACGACAATTTTATATTTTCTCAAATACTTTAGGTTGTAATTTCTTATTTAATGAAACGTGGTACAACCGACGAGATCGATTAAAAATCATATCTGAAATTTGAAATAAAATTATTTTTTATTAATTTATAAAATAAAAAATATTAATATTTCATTTCCTATTATCATGGCTATTTAGTTTAGAGGTGAAGATTCAAAATGTAGTTACTGTTCATTAAAGACAGTTACTGTTCACTGGCGGATTCAATAGTGAGTTGCCCTAGGGGGCCTTTGCAACACTGGAGTTGCTCTTATAAAATTAAGATTGCAACCAACGCATTGTCTTCAAAGGAGGCGTTGAGGGGGAGCGAAGGTACAGTCGCATAGGGCCTTAAATTTGAAGGGGTCTCCAAAAATTTTGTCATCTAATATTATGTAATAATGTTTTATATTTAAAAAAAATTGATTTTGTTAGCACTTTAAAATCTCTTTGTGCACCTCTTATAAGAGTAATTGTTTTCCTTTCTAAATATAAAAATTTGGAGTACAATAAGGTATTTTGTGTGCCAATAACAACACTCTAAGAATGACACACCCCGACCCAAATCGAGTCGTGCTAGCCGTCACGTGAGGGTGATGTAGCCATGTGCGCGGTGCGAAAGTGATAGTGATATGAAAATGTGAGTAAACAAAACCAAACTAACTAATTTACACTATAGTAATATATAAGTGCGAGTGAAGATATTTAAGTATAGTTGCACTTATTCAGAGCATAGGTAACCTAAGTGCAGTCCAGCAGGTCAAGTACTAACTATACATTACCAAAAAGGTGGTCCTACATTATTTATAGTCTGTCAGAACCGCCGTCGACTCCTTATAAGCCACCAGCCAGCACACTTACCTAGAACTTGGAGGGGCGCAAAATAGAAAGTGTGAGTGGACAAAAACAAAGTTTTTCAAAACCATTTCTCTTTCCAAAAGTAATAACCCCTCGTCGTGAAACCCATATAATTTCCTAGAAACTAGCATACGTACATATACAGAAACCATACTCGAAAATAGTGAAATCCAGATATATGCTATGTCAAATTTCTCAGCATAATAATTAAGTAAACCATGTGAAGTAAATCAATGTAAAGTGATATGTCAGCCGAATCCACCTAGTGTGGCATGTACGGCTGAACCTATAGCTCATCAAATATGCTTGCACACGAGTCGGAACCACCTAGTGTGGTCTGTACGACAGGGCTAGGTGTAATAAGTATGCTCAAGTGCTACGATCACATGAAGGGTGTGTGATAAATCGCATATCACCTACTAGTCGGAACCACCTGTTGTGGTATGTATAATAAAAATGTGCAGCAAACTTGGATCCAAGGTGAGCATGCAGTGTGGGAGGTGAACATCACATGAATGACTGTGCCCTAGCCACGGGCGGGAGCACTAACACCGGGGTGCAGGTTTATGAGCTCTAAATGCATCTATGTATAACCATCATAATGCAACTCACAATCATCAATACATATACTCACCTGGAACTTACATGAGCATCCGCAACGTCAAATACTAACATACTTAACTACTAATGCATATTCTAAAATACAAAGCATTTGACATGGCATCTAAAACGCAAAGTCATTTAAATCAATTTTTCTGGGAAAAACGTAAGGCATATATACATATATTGAAAACCAAAAGCCCATTCACTAATATGTGGCAAGGTCGTAACCCCCGTGTCTAACCTGACTATGCTCATCCTCCAGAAACATCTCACCTATATGTGAAACAACTGTTTTAACGTTAATTTTTAAGCACATAACCAAAACTATGTAATCACTTTTCATACGTTGATCAATTGGGGTGTTTGAATATACCATCGTGGCCTACTCAAACACCACGAACATCCCCATATTTTTAGAATAATTTTCCGAAATCCCACACACCCTCACGCATCGGCCAAGGCAAGGCCACAAGCGCCGGCCACCCGCAAGCACGTGTCTGGCACACTGACAGAATATTTAGCGCCGTTATGGAATATTCCGTTAAATAGTAGCATATACCGTTAACTTTACTTGACATCATTAGTATATTCCGTCAATTTTGACGAAATATTCTGCTTCTTCTCTAGTGGTTCGCCAGATTCCGTTGCCGGCCGTCGTTTGTGTCACTGGAAACTGGAAAATATTTAAACCTTAATATCTTCTTCGTTTTTAAACCAAATTTCATGCAATTTATACCAAAATGAAGCTATGAACGAGTAGAACATATTCTTACCACTTTGAAGACCTAAATCCGACATAAAATAGTCGGAAAATTCCTCGTAATTTCGGCTAAACTTGAAAACCCACGGGTAAGATTATCCCGACGTCCAAACTACTTCAAAATTACTCCAACATGCCAAAGAAGCTAGAAAATACCTTCTTATGTCTCAAAACTAGCTAAAACCTTCACGATCATGTCGGAGAAAATTGCATTCCTTGCCGAAGCTCGAGTATCTGGAGTTCTACCAATTATCTCCTCAAACCAAGGGTACGGCTCGACTCGTGAGGTCAAGGGAAGCACAATAATGCTAACCTTACACTCAATTTGTGAGGTTTTGGTTCAGTTTGAGTGTGATGTCTTCGGTTGTATGGACAAAGAAGAAAATTCGAAAAGGGAAGAGAGAGAAGGTGAGGTTGCACGTGTGTGTGCATGTGTCCGTATTAGGCAATTTAAAATGGTCTCAAGCTCTAATTGGGCTATGGGATTTATGGCCTATGTGATTGGTCCAAATAATAATAAAACCAACCCAATCTCACTTATTCATCCGTAACGTTTTCGTTACGAACCCAATTTGGCCCTAACTCGCGTCGACACCCTCGTGACGTCGAATACAATTGATCACATTGGCAGGAAAATAATTTAAAACTATATAAGTACATCCACGTCACAAGGCCCACGAGGGCAAAATAGTCATTTCCACGCACTCGAGGATAAAAAATATATTTAAATTCGGGATGGGTCGTCACAAACAATGATATTTTTTCAATTTAATAATGTTATATGTTTAAGTGAAACTTCAAAGTTAAGAGTTTTGAAGTTCTTCTTTTCATGCTTGGTTGTTTAAGAATTAACTGTTTTTTATTATTTAGTGAAGATTATGTTTGTAACTCTTTTTACTGATGATTAATGACATTTGTAAACTTTCAACAACAACAACAACAACAAAGCCTTTTCCCACTAAGTGGGGTCGGCTATATGAATCCTAGAACGCCATTGCGCTCGGTTTTGTGTCATGTCCTCCGTTAGATCCAAGTACTCTAAGTCTTTTCTTAGGGTCTCTTCCAAAGTTTTCCTAGGTCTTCCTCTACCCCTTCGGCCCCGAACCTCTGTTCCGTAGTTACATCTTCGAACCGGAGCGTCAGTAGGCCTTCTTTGCACATGTCCAAACCACCGTAACCGATTTTCTCTCATCTTTCCTTCAACTTCGGCTACTCCTACTTTACCTCGGATATCCTCATTCACAATCTTCTCCTTTCTCGTGTGCCCACACATCACACGAAGCATCCCACGAAGCATCCTTATCTCCGCTACACCCATTTTGTGTACGTGTTGATGCTTCACCGCCCAACATTCTGTGCCATACAACATCGTTGGCCTTATTGCCATCCTATAAAATTTTCCCTTGAGCTTCAGTGACCTACGACGATCACACAACACGCCGGATGCACTCTTACACTTCATCCATCCAGCTTGTATTCTATGGTTGAGATCTCCATCTAATTCTCCGTTCTCTTGCAAGATAGATCCTAGGTAACGAAAACGGTCGCTTTTTGTGATCGTCGCTAGATTGCTCCGGTAATTAGTGTGGATAAGTATATAAATGGATAGAGATAGGAAAGCAAACACCAGATGTACGTGGTTCACCCATATTGGCTACGTCCACGAAATAGAGGAGTTCTCATTAATTGTGAAGGGTTTACACAAGTACATAGGTTCAAGCTTTCTTTTAGTGAGTCCAAGTGAATGATTTAGTACAAATGACATTAGGAAATATTATGGGAGAATGATCTCGTAATCACGAAACTTCTAAGTTCCGGAGTGTGGTATCGTCTTGACTTGCCTTATCTGTCTCGTAGGTAGATGTGGCATCTTCTCTGGAAGTACTCTTCCTCCATCCAGGGGTGGTATCTTTAACTGGTGGAGATGCACAAGGTAATGTATCAATTTCACTTGAAGCTTACTTGTAGTTTCGGGCTTGGTCAAGCGCGATACAAACCATGTAGTAGGAGTCATCCAAGTCGCCGAGCTAGGGGATCTGCTGAAAGAGGTGACAGACAAGGTAAGCAATCAGAGCTCCAAGCAATTAGTCCCAAATCAGAACTTTGATTTCGAGTTCCGGCTGATTGTTCACATTCTCCCTATCTTGCAGGCAGCATGAAGGATAAAGAGAAGAAAAATGAGAAGAGATGATATGGGATACTTTTGCTTTTGAAGAAGTAACTTTCCACAGGCTTATTCTTGAACTGGGCTGGAGGGTTTTCTGGTTTCCTCCAGAGTATAAGGGCCGACTGAAGAATTTGAAGGTCAAAACAAGTCCATCAAATCTATAGTACGTTCGACCCTGCTGATATGGGATACTTTTGCTTTTGA